AGTTTTCCGCTTACATCCAGGGTACTCTCTGTCTTCATCTTTTTCTTTACGACACTATCTATTGATGAGGTGATATGTTGATCATTATATATGTATGTAAATAAAAGGCTCTTGGGAATATGGTTGAGCATTAATGTGTTCTAACTGTGTAACTGTTGCTAAAGGTTGTTGTCTTTAAAATACTTCTTGGATGTTCTAGTTTTTGTTGTCAAAGTTTCTTTATTATTTAAAAGGTAGAATTATCTTCTGGCTTGTAATAAAATTAAAATTAGACCTATTATAAATATAATTAATAAAGACCTAAAGGTATTAACAACAACGTAACCAAAGTTAGAGCAGGAGACGAATTCACTGAAAATATTCCAACACCGGGAGGAATTAGACAAGGCGACAGTTTAAGCCCCTTCTTGTTTAATCTTCTCATGGGCAAAATTATCAACAAAGTAACATCTCTTAATCTCGGATATAGAATGGGCAACAAAAGAATTGGTATGGTGTGCTACGCAGACGATGCAGCAATTATTGCCGAATCAGAAGATGATCTCCAAAGGCAGCTCTTTCAGTTCTTTCAAACAAGCCGACAATTAAATATGAACATCTCTACCAACAAAACTAAATGTATGACAATAGCAAAAGATCCGCTCAGATGTAAGTTAGTGGTTGAGGACAACCCCATAGAACAAGTGATGCAATTCAGATATCTGGGCATAGATATATCAAGCACCCATGACCCAGTAAAGGACCTGAGGAGTCAGATCAACAAAGCATCTGCACTGTCAGGATGTCTGCGGGAGATAGTCTGGTCTAATCCGTATATGCGCACAGATAGTAAAATTAGAATCTATAAGACTTGCATACGACCGATCATGACATATGGCATAGAAGTGCGCGAAGATACCAACAAAACGAAACAGATGCTAAGGGTTGCCGAAATGAAAACCCTAAGAACAATAATGGGGAAAACAAGAAGGGACAGAGTGAGAAATACAAACATTAGACAGCAGTGCAAAATTCAAGATATTGTAAGATGGGGAAGACAGCGCAAGAGGATGTGGTACAACCATGTAAGACGAATGGATGAGAATAGACTCCCAAAAATTGCCCTAGAAAACAATCCGCCTGGTTCAAGACCCCCCGGAAGACCACCTAAAAGATGGAGGGATAGTTGGCAATCTACCTCCCAAGAAATTAACCAGAGGCAGCTTCAGAATTAAACAGATCGAAAGATCTACAAAAAGTAGAAGAAGAAGAAGAGGTATTTATCTTGTAAGACCTTTACAAGGTAAATTATTGTTTTTTAACAATATTATTGTTTTTTAACAAAACAAACTCTTTGCTGAGCCTGAGGATGAGGCAAATATTGTAAGCCTCGAAACCGATCGCTTCTGTAAAACTTTGAATGTAAATATTAGATTGTGAGTATTGACCTTTCTAATATATCTGTTCAATTATGGACTCACACTTGCAACCCTTTTATCATCATAATAGATAATTATTATCTTCTTCTTAGAGTGCCATATCCCTACGGAACGTCGGCGACTACCATGCTTATCATATTATTATACTGATCTCGGTCTTGCGCTACGTGTAGCAATTGGTCCGCTGTCAAACCTGTCCACTGCCGCAAATTCCTCAACCAAGAGAGTTTCTTCCGTCCTATCCATTTCTTTCCTTCGATTTTACCGTTGAGAATTAGCCGAAGGAACTCATATCTTGGTCCTCTGATTATATGTCCAAGATATTCTAGTTTACGCCTCTTAATAATATTTAATAGAGTTCGTTGATGTCCCATTTTTCGAAGAACTTCTTCGTTTCTGGTTCTGCTAGTCCATGGAATTTTTAGTATCCTTCGATACAACCACATCTCAAACGCCTCGATTTTATTCATGATATTGGCGTTTAAAGACCAAGTTTCACATCCATACAAAAGTACAGACCACACGTAACATCTTGTAAACTTTTCACGGATTTCCAAATTTAATGAGTTAATGGATAATAGAGACTTAAATTTTTGATATGAGTTTCTTGCCTGTTCAATTCTACATCGAATTTCGAAGGATGGATCTAGATTTTGGGTAATCCAACATCCAAGGTATTTGAATCTCTGAACTCTCTGCAGCGGTTGTTGGTTTAATATCAGTTGGGTTGCGCCGATATCCACTTTACTGGTCACCATGTATTTAGTTTTATCGATATTTATCGATAGTCCCCAATTTGTGCATTCCATGTCAACTCTATTGATTAGCTCCAGTAAATCGTTGATGTTTTCAGCTAGAATTGTTAATTATTTCTCCTCCTATGATAATTCCTTTTTGATCTTTTAAAGCTTCCCTAAATAGATTCTCAGAATACACGTTAAAGAGGGTGGGAGATAGTATACAGCCTTGTCTTACGCCTCGTTCAATACTGATTTACTTTGATTCTCTGTTGTTGGTATTAATAATGGCTATTTGGTTCGAGTAAAGTTTGGCAATAAGTTTGATGTCTTTCTCATCTAGTTGGATGCTCTGCAAGGCGGTAATTATAATACAGTCAAAATAATATTAAATTTACTTACTTAATTTGATAGAAAACAGCAAACACATTAAAAATGTTTACAGTTCTAAGTTTGTTTAAATAACACTATAATTATAAACCAACACACACATATTTATACAGAGCTGTTAAAAGTAAAAATTATATTTATATAATTAAATTCAACAGACATAAATGTAATTCGTAATTACTGAATCCATATCTGTTAAAACTCCAAATTCTGCTTCTTTGTTTAGAGGTGTAGATTGTTGTTACTTGTGAGTTTCTACTTGTTACTCTTGATACGCTTTTGTGTATAATCAGTTACAGTATAAGTGATTTTGTAACAAGTAGATACCTCTTCAGCATCTCTAGATATTGGGAATGAATATATCACGCGTCCGTAGTGTTTATATTTTACTTTTCTGTTAGGCGAATATAATTATATAATTTCTATATATATATATATATATAATTTATAGTTTCTTTTCTTATATTATTTTTATTTATTGTTAAACGTTTTTTGAAAAATAAAATATTTTATTTGGTATAAAGACAACATTTTTTACTGTATAAAAACAAAATAAAACAATAATACATTGAAATGTCATAATACTAAACCTTGGTGCCGTGTGACGCCACGCGCCCTTTTATGTATGTAAAAACCATGCGAGTACCTAGATGTTAAGAGTGGTCCAGCGCCGTCGTCTATTAAAAGAAAATAAAGTGAGCACAGTCAGACAAAAACCAATCTTGAGCACCAAAAAGAGCACTTTTATGTATCTCTACTCGTTAACGACTGTAGAAAACAGCTATTGTTTTTTTCGGGAAAACCTTTCATAAACCTAATTCAATTTTGGCACATGTCCTGTAATACTATATGAATGACCTTGGTTCATTCCCCCATCACTTTAACCCATCGAGTTAGAATCTATGGAGAAGCTATGAGCATATTAACGTATGTATTAAAAACGTGCGTAGGTAGGCGTGGCTAACGATAATACCAATATGGCGGGGACATCAGGGCCAGACTAAATAATATTAAAACTACTATACAAATATGACTAGTTATTCAGAAGATTTAATCATAATCTAAAAAAGTGCGATACATTTTTAATAAACTATTCTCTGAAGTACGGGCCATTACTTTATGCTTTATGCTTATGCTCGATGCTTTAACCCATCGAGTTAGAATCTATGGAGAGGGCATCACGTTACTAAAAACGACCTCACTTCGGCCATATTGTTAATACTATTGTTAATATTGTTTTGACACTTTTGACAGATCGTATAAGTTTATTTAGATACGTTTGTTGTTTTTCGAATATTTTAAGTTTTATAATACTTTTATAAAAACTGCAATAATATATTGTGATAGTGCATAATAATGGTTTCTTGTTCTCAACGTAGTTGGAGTAGCAGAAGCAATGCTAATAAAAATCTTCAGGAATAACGTTGTACAGGTTAGTATACAAATATGTAAACAAAGTAATGGCCCGTACTTCAGAGAATAAATTAATAGTATTTGACTGTATTAATTTATCGTTATGTATCGTGTTTTTAGTGTTTATCGCGGGATAAATAAATTATAGTTTATAAAAATGTATTGAACCTACCTACACACCTACCTACGCCGTTTTTAATACACACGTTAATATGTTCATGGCTTCTTCATAGATTCTAATTCGATGCTTTAACCCCAACGAGTTAATAAAGAGAAATGACAGCCTATCTGTCTCACGAAGACTTTAACCAATCATAAACCAAATAAAACAATCAAACAAAGCAATGTCAATTCTGTCAAAAGTAATGACAGATCTTCGGTTTGTTTACATGTTTTCAATTTTATTTTATTATCTTTAACTTTCGTTTGCGTTTATTCTTAGTAATTTTAATTTAAGTTGGTTACTTAGTTTTTAAAGTTTAGTTTGAGTTACCTATTCTAGCAAAAAAATTTTGTGTTGTGCTAGTAAAAAAACTAAACATGGTGAATTATTGTATTGTTCCGTTGTGTAAAAATCATGGAAAAATTACAAATCGAATGATGATAGAAAGTTGTCAGGAAGCAAAAAATAATAGTATTTAACTTTTAAAAATATGTGTAATAAATATTATGTAAGTTTATAACTGTTTTATCTTAACAAATAAATATACGTATATCTAGAAAAAATTGTGCATTTTCTATATATCCTTATTTTCCAGTAAATCTTAATTAGTAACGAAATAGCCCGAAATAGGCGGTAAAGGGTATGTATGTAAGGGGTGTACATTCGAATTTGCCGCCAAAAGATGATTAGTATTAACCCCAGATGCAAGGGGTCCTAACGAACAAAATTTATACATTGGGTTGCCTATCTATTTCTACTTTATTATTTATCTATGATTTTAGCACTTATGTGACGTTTAACTTATTTACATATACTGACATTACAAAACTATATTTGTGAAGAATATGGAAATTACAGGAAAAATTTACAATAAATATACAATCCTTATAATTTTTTATTTATGGATGACAGATATGTAAAGTTGGCATTACAATATTTTTGAATTTAAAGATTTTGTATTCTGCTCACTAATACCTTGCGGTGTCGAATATGTCAAAAATATCAAAAAAATTATAGAATTTATAGGAGGTAATAGCTACATCAAGTGAAAAGGTTAGTGGAAAAATCTGTCATGGTACATCTGTTTACATTTTGAGATATTGACAAAAGGGATTGTTATAGACTGCTTTAGGACTCAAACCTACCACCTAAAATACTTAAATCCATCTTTGAACTATTCAATATCTTAAAATGTATTAAATGTTACATGCACCATTCTTCCACTCGCCTTTTCAATTGCAAATATGTTTCCCAATGTCTTAGGCATTTTTTTCATTTTTTTCATTTGGTAATTTATTCGAACGTGCTACAAAATCACTGTTTAAATGTTCTGGTCCCAAATGTCCAGATCCACTTAAATCAAATCCTCCTGGATTTCCAAATCCTCCTAGATTTCCGAATCCTCCTGGATTTTCGAATCCTCCTGGATTTCCGAAACCTCCTAGATTCCCGAATCCTCCTAAGTTGTCGACTCCTCCAATATTTCCAAATCCTCCTAAGCCTCCAAACCCTCCTCCCGCTTGTATTCCCCCGATATTAGGATATGCGGGACCCAGAAATGGAGACGCAAGGTGCATATTGGAAACTATACAATAAATTATTTTATCAACATCCATACAATGTTTAACATTTCCGCGGGGCAGTAGGTTCTTTACGCAAGCATTGAAATCATTTATTTTTTGGTTATCGTTGCCAAATAATGTAGCGAAAAGGCGTTCCAGTAGGTCTGATTTTTCCAAATGTCCTTTTTTATTTAGTGTGCCGTCTTTTTCAAATACACATTTCTGCAGGCAAAGCATCTGCGTTCGGTTAGTGCCGAATGGTTTGAATAAGTCTTGGTTGAGTCCTAACGAATCTGCGCATTCTTTGTAATAGTCGGCCCCCGTCCCAAATCCTAATGTCTGACCTACCTGAAACAGAAATTGTACATAATATAAGTTATGATGTATTTAGTTCGTTAATAAATTTAAAGTTTATACGAGGTTCAATATTTTTTAAACAGTAATAGATTGTCAATTACTCGCGTTTATTTATGAAATTTACACCAATGGTTCCAGTTCACAACTAAACTCTAATTTCACTATTTGGAAGAGTGATTCATCGTTTAAAGACGGAGAACTGGGAAAAGACGTCGGCACTTTCTCGGCAAAAACGAGTTTTACGGCTATCTGTGGGTAGTAATTACTCCGTCGCTAGTTACAAAGTTGCCAAACCATTGAAAAATATTGTTTTAAAATATCGATTTTTATTTTATAAATTTAAATATGTAACGAAACGGAACAACGTACAATTGAAAAAATCAGTTTTTTGGTATTTTTATGACGGTAATAATCGCTGCGTGGAAGAATACAGGTTTTGTATGACCATAAGAATAAGAATTGGCTACACTGTACGACAACTCCTGGTCAAGTCTTGTATAGAGAAGCACAAATAAATATACTACTTACATATTCTGTAATTTCTTATGAGAAAACGCAAATTGCAATTGAGAAAACGGGTAGTTTTCGAGGGCCGCTGTGTACATTTAAATTTAAGGTTATTTGGCGTTTAAATGATGAATCACTCTTCCAAATAGAGGAATTATAGCATAGGTAGGGAAGTTTTTAAGTTTAAATAAAGAAAAAACTGCAACGATTGTATTAAAAATAAACAACAACAGCCATTACAAATGAAAGGAAATATGTGGGATGGATTGACATATCTTTATAAAATATATAACATGGGTATATTCTGTGCATAGTGGATTACATCTAAACCCAAATTGGTGCAACAGAAATACTAAACAGCTAAAAGTTCGAGACATAAGGTATTTCCAAACTTATCAAAGGAAGATGTTAGCCCATACTAACTGAAGATGACCCCCAGAATTCAAAAAAACAAAAATTATTGCAATCCAGAAGCCTGGTAAAGACAACAAGTTGACTGAAAGTTACCGGCCTATTGCCTTACTCAGTTGCTATTATAAATTACTAGAACGACTTTTATATAACCGAATATGTAACACCATTGAGGATGCTGTACCAATTGAACAAGCCGGATTTAGAAGAGGACGAAGTTGCTGTAACCAAGTGCTGTCCTTAACTACATTTATTGAAGCTGGCTTTAAAAGACGCGAAAAATCTGCCATAACATTTATAGATCTCACGGCTGCCTATGACACTGTGTGGAGAGAGGGACTTATTTATAAGCTGATGAAAATCATACCTTGCCTCAAAACTTGTCAGCTGATAAACAATCTACTGACTAACAGACTGTTTCAGGTATATATGAATGATGCACAGAGTAACGTTAGAAAACTTAACAACGGCTTACTTCAAGGCTCAGTGCTAGCTCCTTTATTATTTAACCTTTATACAGCAGATATACCTGAAACAAAATCGAGAAAATTTGCTTGTGCTGACGACCTGGCCATTGGCTTCCAATGGCTTCTTTCACCTGTCAAATCAACTTGCGTGCGATACTCTCAATGTAACTCTAAATGATACAGCTATCAAACATAACAACAACCCCAAATATCTAGGCGTCACACTTGATAGAACACTCCCCTTCAAAAGTCATCTTACAAACGCAGCCGGTAAACTAAGAACAAGAAATAATTTTGCAGATACTCTTCGGACCTCTGCTCTAGCTTTGGTTTTTTCAGTGGCAGAATATTGTGCACCAGTATGGCTAAATAGTGCACATACAAGCAAAATCGATGTCCAACTTAACCAAACCATGAGAATAATCACTGGAACAATAAAACCAACGCCAGTGAGATGGCTGCCTACTCTGAGCAATATTGCTCCACCAGATCTACGCCGTACAGCAGCATTAGTGAGAGAGTACCAGAAAATTGTAGCCAACGTACAATTAGTAGTCACAGTAGAAGTACTGTGAAAGTTCATACGCTAAATAAAAATAAATAAACTGAAGATGATTATTATAGTCAAAAAAAATTTATTGGTCACCTTGATGATTGCTATAATAAAATTCATATATATATGGGACATCCTATATAAATATAATATTATTAAAATTTAAAATGAATGATTCAAAGTACATAATACTGTAATATTAAATGATTATTTTAAATAAGGGAGACGTTATTATCCCGCAAGGAGCGAACACAACATTAGTACCAACAAAAATAAGAATGAAAATACCAAAACTTGTTCTATGGGAAATCATCGAGGAAAATTCAATGTAGAATCACTGTGGAACGACTCTACAAGAAAAATGTACCAAAGGAGCTTAGCACAGAAGATACAGTTAAAACAAATAGACGACATCGAAGATGTAAACGCGAGCTGTGAGAAAATTAAAAACAACATTGAAGAAACAGCAACAGAAGCTGTAAAAAAACGCAAAGTCATACTTAATACATAACATCATCAATACACCATAGTTCAAAAAAGAAATAAAAGAGAAATGCTAAAAGAAACGAGAGAGAAACAAAACATTAAATACCCCAGAATGCCGAGACACTTATAGACACTAGGAACAGTTTACAAAAAGGATGGAAAGCGACTTCAACTTTACACAAAAACAAATGTGGGGATTCATGAGAAACCAACGGAAAGAAATGGCAGAATTAAAGGAATACAATAGCATACCAGCAAACAAATGGGAAAGATATCGGACGGAACTGTTTAAAGGAAAGCAAAATAATAATCAACACAATAATGTACCTAAATTAAGACACGAAATAGAAATTAGTTCTTAGAAAGTAGAGATAGCCATAAATTCACTCAAAAATAGAAATTCACCAGGACCAGGCGGAATAACCAACCAACCAAATAGACGGAGGAGAAAGTATAACCCTAGAGATGACAAAACTTATACAAAAACTAATATCGCACTGCAAGATACCAGACGCATAAAAAGCAGCATAATGATACCAATGTTCAATAAAGGAGATAAAGAAGACCCCAACAATTACAGAGGTATACATCTACTGAACACCATACTTAAGCTTACTAAAAAGTCCTAATCAACAAAATCAATAAACTAATAATTTTATCAGATGAACAACAAGGATTCAGATCCGGAAAATCCTGCGTAGATGCCGTTTGTGGACTAAGGCAAATCACAGAAAAAGCCATTGGGTACAATCAACCAGCATATCTATGTTTTATACACCTGACAAAGGCTTTCGATCACATCCAAGTGGAAGACGTCTTACACCTACTGTATGATAAGAACATACCAATCAATATTATATAAACCATTAAAAACATCTACCTCCATAATCGAATACAGGCAAAGATAAATGGAAAACTAACACAGTTAATACCAGTAAAAAACGGGGTCAGACAGGGTGACTCGTTAAGCCCACTTCCCTTTAATATAATAATAGACGAAATAATATAGGCAATACGCAAAGGTCATGGTTACAGAATGGGGAATAAAGAAATCCAAATATTATGTTATGCAGACGCCGCATTAATTGATGATCATCATCATCATCACGTAGCGCTACAACCCTGGGTGGGTCTTGGCTGACTGTACAACTTTTTTCCAATTTATTCGGTCTTCCATCAACCCAGGGTCAAATGGAATGTTCATTTTGATGATCGGCTCCATCTAAAATGCCTAAATTAATAGACAATATTTCCTACTCAATTACATCTTGACTTGAAAGAGGATTGGCAAATATATTAAATTGTGATATTTCTTATTTATTTGCTCTATTTTACAACGGGATAACTTCTAGATAACATTATTATTGAACAGTGTATAATTACGTATGCTCACATCTTAAATATAATTACCGACTTGCTAAAATGAACTACTGTTATTATTGGTCACAATTACGTGTCTCTACTATTTTATATTATACAGAGTGACCCAAAAGTCTGGAAACGGCCAATTATCTCGTAAATTGCTAGTCATAATTGTACCAAATTTGAGGTACACCTATTTTGGGATACGGAGATTCCATATTTGATATTTACAATGTTGCCAAAATTTCCGTTTCTCTTATATTATTAGTAACTTTGGTTTTTCAAATTCATCATTATAGGAATTATAATGATGAATTTATAGTATATTTAGTCATTATAGGAATCTCCTATTCAATACAACATCAACCATATGTAATACTTATGATGTTATGTAGACTGGAAGGTCTTAAATACATTAAACGGAAGTCTGGCAACGCCTAATTGCCTAATAAATTTTTTAATACTAAAACTATTTTTAGTTACATTAAAACTTAACAATTGATAGATTACAACATTTTTTAGCATAATGGTTACTTTATCAAGTGTTCAAAATGTACTCCATTTGTGAGTTGACAGTACCCTAATCGATGGTAGAATGCGTCTACCACGTTTCTCCATGATTATCTAGAAATTATTCGGGATTCATCGATAATTCGTTGCCTTAGCTCTGCAAGACTTGCTGGTTTAGTTTTGTAAACTGAATTTTTTAAGTACCCCCAATAAAAATAATCTTTAGGATTAAAATCAGGTGAATGTGGAGACCATTCAATTCTACCTCGTCTACCAATCCATCGTCCGGGAAATATCTGATCTAAATAACGCCGAACATTTACACCAAAATGAGGTGGAGCTCCATCTTGCTGAAACCATATAGGATTAAAATTGGCCCCAAACAAATTTCTCAGTGTAGGTACAATTTCATTTCTAAGTAACATTTCGTAACTATCTGACGTAAAATTTCCTTCGATGAAAAATGGCCCAATTAACTGAGTACCTACTATACCTGACCATACATTTAATTTTTGTGGTTTTTGAGTATGGTTTTCACGCATCCAGTGTGGATTTAAGTCACTCCAGTACCTTAAATTGTGTCGATTCACACTTCCACACAGTGTACAGGTTGCTTTATCAGAAAAACATATTCTGTTAACGAAATTTTCATCATTTTCAATTTTTTCCATCATTACCTCAGTAAACTCTAATCT